ACTGCCTCTAGAGTAGGTGGCTGACGAACTGGAACTGCGTACTCCCATGAGAGTCCTTTTGCATACCGGTCAACCTTTGTCAGCTCATCTGGAATGATGCGCAAGGAAAACTCCATTTTGTTGGTGAAAGCATTTGTGTATTCATCAACTGACATGCTGCCCTTTGTTAATGTCAGAAACTTGTTCTCCAATTCCAACAGATTTTGAGCCGAGCAGAACTTGCGCTTGAACTACGCCAAGAACTCTGCCCATGACAATTGTAGTGGCTCATTAGGGCTTAAAGTCTTCCCTAGAGTTTTCCACCAACGAACGGCTCCACCTCAGAACTGACGCACTGCAAAGGTAGTCTGCAACTTGCCTCTGCAACCACAAGTCATGAAGGCTAACTCCATTTCGGAGATCCAATCCATCACTTCGATCGGGTCCTCCTTTCCAGTGAAGGTCGATGGTTTGCAAGTTAGAAATTCCTTGTACTTGCATCCCATCCCATCATTCCTTCCATCATGGTTGTTTTTCCTAACTATCGGTGGGTTAGCTTGACCAACAGATCCACTGAAGTTTCCACCTTCCGAGTGCCCTTCATTCACTTCGGGCTCTTCCACTTGAATTAACAGTTCTTCACGATTCTGTTGAAGCAGACGTCTCGTTTCATCCATCTGACGATCCAACATCGTCTGAATCATCAATTGTACACCAGCCATTGTTATCGGCTCAGGTGCTGCTGCTACGACAGGTATTTGCTCAATCACTGGTGGTTGGTTCCTATTTTCATCAGCATTTCCAACTCCACTTCTTGTTCTCACCATTTTTGATCTATACACCGAATAAGGTGAAATCAGATCCTTATTCACTATAGATATTCAAATCATCCTTATCACTCTGAAACGTTTACACATTAGTTCTAATATCGTAGACGTACGCTTAGAATCCTACATACATAAGGTTTCCAGATCCGGTCGGCAACAGACCATAGATCCGAACAAATAATATCATATATGGAAACATATAACATTTAGCACATAAAAGCATTTTAGGCAACTTTCCTAAAATAAACTGGTGCTCGTGTCTAAAACATAACAAACACACATCTCAAAATTTCACTTAGCATTTTAAGTTTAAGTCTAGAAATCCTACAAATTCCTAGTTCGCTTAAACTAATGCTCTGATACCAACTGTGACATCCCCAAAATCTCGGCCAGAAAAGACCAATTTTCATTTATGCTTTTAAAATAATTCCAGAGTAAATCCTTTTGATTTGAAAGAGTTGCGGAATTTGTTCCCAAAAACAAAACGTGATAAAATAATATTTACCAAAGCATTTCATAAAAAGAAATGTATTTTCATTATATAATCAAAACTCGGGATGTCATGTTCCGATATAGACCATAAAGCATAAACGATAACATTACAAGTCATTCAACAAATATATACATATACAAACTTGTAAACAAAACAACTTGATGATTCATCCATCTTATGCCCGTGCCCCACTTCCTGTAATATAACTAAACTGAGTGGGTCAGGCTTTGGAGCCTGGTGAGCATATAGGGTTTCCAACCCACAATAAATAATTAAATTAATTTTCATCAACCAACAATAACCCAATTACCCATTCCTATTATTCTCACTTTACGTCCCTAAAATAACTAACAAAAGGGACCTAGTCTAAGAATATTTCATCGGGGCGACAACACATGCATTCGGGGGTTTCCCGACAATATATGTCAAATAAGGCAACCATGAGGGGGACGGAGTACAGCGAATGAACACCCAAGTTCATTAACACCTACAAGTGGCAAACCTAATAGCGTTCCACATGACTGTCTAGAAAAGTCTGTGGTCGTCATCTAAACTCTGCTAGATGACTGAATCAAAAACAACATCGAGGCCTCTCATCTGTTTATCACACAACTATCTACGCATGTTCTGCCCAACATATTGGTAGATAAAAATATATATCTTTATACTTAGTTTAAAACCTGTATAGCATTCTCATTCAATACATATTTCAAACAACAGATGAGACACATACACATAACACGTATTTCATAGAGAATAAATCATATCTATGAGATAGAAGAAAGTGAATATACATTCACACATATAACAACAAAATATACACATAACACGCATTTCGTATAAAATACTTCATAATTATGCGTTAGAAGAAAGTAACCACACACTCACTTGATCAAAAGATGATCGGACAGCACTACGGCTTGTAGAAGTAGTATTCTTCGGTAGATCTGGAAGATCTTCACAAAGACCGGGCTCCTCGCGGGCAGAGCTTCGGCTCGAGAATTGAACTTCTCGGGCTTCGGGACTTCGGGACTTGCTTCTGGGTTCGGGATTAATACCGGGGCTTCGGGATACTTCTGGCACGCAAAACGATGCAAAACGGGAGAGAGAGAAGAGAAAAAGAGCAAAACTCTCGGCTGCCCTCGCAAGCCTTTTATAGAGGCTGAGCCTCGCACGTACGTTGGGCGTACTCAGTTACGCGGGGCGTACGTGACCAAAACGTCACTGCATGCATCATTGAAGCACTTGAGTCCGAGGCGGTGCATGCATCGGGGTACGCTGCCTTACGCTGGGCGTAACCCGGATAAGTCCGGTGACTCCCCTTCGGATAATATCGGGTTTAATAATTAAAATTTTAATTTTAATTATTTAATAAACTTCGAAAATTCATATCTTCTTCATACGAACTCCGTTTTAAACATTCTTTATATCCACGCGTAGGTGAGACTACGCTCTACAACTTTCGTTTAGACTCTGTTGGCTAATTTTGACTTTATTTTTATTATTTATTTTTAGTAGGCCGGGACAGGAAAACTCCGTTATAAATTCATAACTTCTTCATCCGACGTCCGTTTTCGCCTATCTTTTCATCGTTTCACTACAATTAACGAGATCTTCGATTCTTGTTTAGATTGTTTCGGCTAAAAACCGCTCGGTCTCAAATCAAGTATTCGGGCTGCATACTGCTAAGTCGAAACTTCGAAAAATCATAACTTCCTCATACGAAGTCAGATTTGGGCGCTCTTTTTATGCACGCTCTCGGTTTAACGAACTCTACGACTTTCGTTTAGATCACTAAGGCTAAATATCGCTCTAACGTAAATTTCACTTTTTACATCTTTCAGCGTTGCGGGTTCTGTCGCGAAACTTCGACAAGTCATAACTTCTTCATTATAACTCGGATTTCGGCATTCTTTATATCTTCGGAATCCTTGTTTCGACCACTACATCTTTATGCAAAGATATCGGGCTTATCCCACGCTTCAAATTTAACGCTTATTTTATTCTTAATTCATTAAATTATAATAATTAAGAAAATAATACTCAAATATTTAATCATTAATACTCCAAAAAGAGTTACAAGGGTTAACCTAGACTATTACATCATTGATAATGCCTAGCTTGGAAACACATCTATGATTCCCGTTGTGATATTATGTGGTGTTAGTTGCGGTGAAATAGACCCGATATCCGGTTGAAATAGACCGAAGGGGATTGCAAGCACCCATATATGCTTGACAGTATCTGGTTGAAATAAACTGAATAGGAGTGCAAGCACCCATATATGCTTGATAGTATCTGGTTGAAATAAACCGAAGGGCAAGGTAAGCACCCAGCTATGCTTAGGAGTATGTTTGTTTAGTATTTGGTATTTTGGGGGAACCCACTAAGCTTTGTGCTTACAGTTTTCAATTTATGTTTCAGGTACTTCCGGTTTGAAGGGGAAGGGACCGCCTGATCGCATCGCATCACCCTATGTTTTCTGCATTTGAGATTTTGGGATTTGTACTCTGAGAATATGTTACCATGATACGTATTTGACTGATTTGTTATGAGTAATCTATGTTTGAATGAACTTAAAAACAATATATATATATATATATATATATATATATATATATATATATATATATTATCTGTATTTTAGGATGTTACACCATTGAGGTGTCCAAGAACACTGAATCCAACGCAATGAGTTTTAAATAGCTCTTGTCATACGTCATAGTGCAATTTGTTTAGATCAAGGATCAGGGGTGCATAAGATTGGGTGGTGGTGGTGATGTTGAAGGGTTTGTTGTTCACCTAGGGTTGAGCGTTGTCAGCCGGGAGATCGTATAAAGGAGAGGTGCGAGAAGAAAGTAGGAGAAGTAGATGAATAATACGACATCAATGCAATGATGGTAGTCGGTTAAGGTTGAGCAAATAAGGCAAATGGATGGATAGCAGAGAAAGAATCCCTGATACCATGTATGTTTTAAATGTTTTCGTATCAGATTTCTCATTGCTTTGGAGCAAGGTTGTCAAGATCATGATCTTACTTATGATTGTTTTATGTTTTGCAAGATTGTGGTTGTAAGATCAGATCGAGATCGAAAGATCCTACCAAAATGAACTCATATTCAAATTTGCTCGAAAGATATTGGGTGTAAAGTATACATTATAACTTAATGTTGATAAAAACATCAATAGTGGAATCAAATTTAACTTCTTAAGCATGAACCATAATTTTTGTTGCTACAAACCGTAAGAAGAAAATATCTTAATTAGAAAAAAATAAAATCGTTTTGATCGTGTACAACTTAAGACATGAGATCATAAAGGGATTGTTATGAGTGCATTCTGCCTAGTTTAACATGAAATAATAAAATAGTGATGTTCTACAAGACTTCTCGCAATGGTCGATTTCAAGTTGAATAGACGATTTTTGAAACTCATGTATATAATAAAACTAAAGAGGTGAGATCGAGATCGTAGTGTGATTAAAATCATTTTCACCTATAGGATTTTAAAATCATAAGATCTTAATATCAAGATCGGGATTTTAATGAACGTAAAATACGTACTAATAGATATGGATGTCTAAAAGTTGAAAGAGCTTTTAAGCATCCAATTCAATTCAAGGTGGAATGGTTGTTTTGTTTTTTTACGGAGGTGTGAAGTTTTGTAAGCTATTTTCTGACTTACAAATAAGTCTATGGACTAAAACAGTTGGCAGTGGTTAAAGTTAAAACGACACTTTTGAGTTTGGTATAGAAAGAATAAAGTTTTGTTGAAAGAATTTAATACATTTTTCCGTATCTAGTTATTTTTCCTCTTTCTTTCCGTTGTATAGATGTTCGGTGTTCCTATCTCATCGGAGAAATAACAAGTCCAGGGTTTTTGCAACTATTGAAGCACCTCTTCTTGTTAAATGATTCCGCACACACTTTTTTGCACAACAGTAGTGGTGGTAGTGTTCCCAAGTATCAAAACAAAAAGCATACAATTTATATCATACCCAGTCACCCGGCAAATGACATGCTTTTCAGACAATATGTATGCTATGCATATGACGGGCTTGGATGGTTTCCACTTTCCTGGTCAGATGCATAGCTTAAAAGCATTTATTACCATCATATAATAATATAATCTTGTGAATTAGTTTCCAAGGAAGTCGATCTGTTTACAAGGAAGGCTACACAATTCTTTTTGTATGATTAATTTATGGAAATAGGAAATGATTATGAAGCAACTTGACAGTAAGTATATGATTCCTCTTCCTTTCCTCTCCTCTCTACAGTCTACAGGCAGGCCAAATTCTTATTATCTTCAGGGTCACAAATATACACAATTATCTGCAGGTGGGGTCCATGCCATTTGGACTGCTACTCAGACGCTGACAGATGAGGCTGATGAAGATGATGATGGTGGTGGGGTCACTGAGCCATTATCCTTATCCTTTATTTTGCTGTTGCTGGTTTTCCCTTGATCCTTGTTCACCATCACCGGTTTAAACTGGGAAAAGAATACAAATATGAAAAAGTCCACACAACAATCATATTAATATATGTTATATTGAGTTGATTCGATACCTGGTATATAGAATATATAACATTTCTTCTTATTTGCGCCATCATCTCAATAAACAGATTGTAGCCTTCCAGCTTGTACTCGATCAAAGGATCTCTTTGTGCATATCCACGTAACCCTACAGCTTGTTGAACAAATTTAAGTGCTTGCAAGTGTTCTTTCCATAGCCTATCTATGTTGCTCAATATCAGAAACCTTTCTGCTTCCTTCATCAACCCTGGAGCTTCTTTCTCCACAATATCCTATGATAATAATAATAATAATAATAATAATAATAATCATTAGGTGGTGCTTCTCTTCTACAATTCACAATTTACATCCATTCTTTCTTACCCTCTTCTGTAAATATGCTTTGCGCCCAGAAACACGAAGATAAATCCTCAAATCTTCATAAGTCGCACACTGGCTTGCCAGTAAATCTGGAGTCAAGTCATTCAAAAGATAGCAATACCTGTACTCACAAAAATCATCTTTAATGGAGTTTTAAGAGAAAATAAGCAACCTCTTTAGACTACAACTTACTGCTGGAGTTTTGCAATAAGCTTTTCAAAATCCCAGTTTTCCTTTGGAGCATCAGAACCAATATTTGCCTACAACAAAGTTTAACAAAAATACAATGGTAAATCATTTTTACCTCTTTTATTAATCATTTGCTTACCTCTAATATGTCATCCATTGTGAGTTCAGAATATTCGATCAATAGAGATTGAAGATCTTCAGACTGTAGAGCTCTCCTTCTCTCCGTATAGACACGGTCTCTTTGGCTGTTGAGAACCTCGTCATACTCAAATAATTGCTTTCTGATATCAAAAAAGTAATTCTCCACTTTTCTTTGAGCTTCGTCCAATGCTTTCGTCAACATTTTTGATTCAATTGGTAAATCCTCAACTCTAAAAGCCCTCATCATACCCTACAACTTGCAACTTTTTAAAACTGATTTCCAAATTAAGCATTAATAATCATATCAAAAGAAAAGAGAAAATTAAACCTGAATTCTATCACCCCCAAAAATGCGAAAGATATTATCTTCCAGACTAAGGAAGAAACGCGAACTTCCAGGATCCCCCTGCCTGCCACTTCTACCACGCAGCTGTATACATTTCATTTGGAAACTAATATATTATTATTTATTATTATTATTATTTAATTGTTAAGTTAAATTATAAAAATTGCACCTGGTTGTCGATTCTCCGTGATTCATGGCGTTCCGTCCCGATGACATGAAGTCCCCCAGCTGCTACAACCTGTGACACAGAAGCACAACATTTTTATTATTCTTGATTTCTTTCATGTCATTTACACTTGACACTTGTTTTTAACAAAGAAGGTCTCAGTTGGAACTTGGAAACAAGAATATATATATATATATATATATATATATATATATATATATATATATATATAGAGAGAGAGAGAGAGAGAGAGAGAGAGAGAGAGAGATCAAGGACAATTTAGGGGCCATTAAGTCATGTATGTGTAAAGTGGCTGTCTAAATCACCACTTTACCCTTACATTCCAAAAAATAAATTTCACAATATTCATCAGAGTTAGGAGGAAAAAAGAAGGGCAAATGTGTAAAGAATCGGTGTCTTAATACATTAAGCCAGGTTTTAATAAAGAAACAACCATGTATAGCTAAGCTAGCTGCCCAGATGAAGTGGTTAACCCATTAAGTCACAAAGAAACAGCCCCTTACCTTCTTCCTTTCTTCCTCGGTGTAAGTCTTATATTCTTTTGCAATTTGTAGGAAAGAATGGCGCAATTTGGCAATTACTTCATCTTGAGCCGGACCCTATAGATACTACCCAACATTAGAGTTGTTTAGGGAATGAACTTGTTACAAAAACAAAGACATCATCTATTGACAGACAGGTGGCACCTTTTCACAAGCATAAGATAGCCGCTCTTCTGCTTCCAACTCAGCTAAAGATCTTCTACCCCATGAACTGACAGCCAAATGTACAGCTTCCTCAACCACCAAGCTATTTTCTTGAGATAGTGAACACGGGAACAAACTTTCACTCACCTAAAAATGCACCCAAAAGTAAGAGAATACATATGTATGGCTAAATACAAACACACACACACACACACACAGACCTTCCATGTCTTCTTTGGGGGAGATTTCTTCACAGAAACAAAAACTCCCTCAGCTGGCTTTACAATGCTGCAACATTTATTAAGTGAAAGCTGTTTAGGGAACTAACTAAAAGCAAAAATAGATTTTGTTGTATTCTTACCTTGGCATGAGCAACTCACGTAGCTTCAACCTAGCCATAAACTCTGCATTACCACCAAGAATTATATCGGTTCCTCGGCCCGCCATATTTGTAGCAATAGTAACTGCACCAAGGCGACCACTTTGTGCCACAATCTCAGCTTCTCTTTCCACATTTTCTGGTTTCGCATTTAGAACCTAAGTTGCTCCAAATATCAAATATAATAATGTGAGTGTATTATTCATTTTATCGTTTATACCTATGTTGTTCTTCTTCTCTTAGAAAAACAAGATAGGAATAGGATTCAATGAATCACCTCATGAGGGATTCCAGCTTCACGGAGTTGTTTGGACAATGTGTCACTCTGTTCAACACTGGTTGTCCCAACAAGCACAGGCCGCCCTGTCTTGTTCATTCTAGAAATTTCTACCACCACCGCCTGCCATTTTCCCGTGGTTGCCCTAAATACCACGTCTGAGTCGTCCTAAACATCACATCACATCACTCCTTTTCAATATTCATTTCATGAAAAAAACAGAAAGAAAACACATGGTGGAATATTTCAAATTAATGAACCTTTCTTATCATAGGCTTGTTTGTGGGCACAATTGTAACTTTGAGCTTGTAAATACTTTCAAACTCTGAACTCTCAGTTGCAGCGGTGCCAGTCATGCCACAAAGTTTTGGGAACTAATAGAAACGTAAAAATCCCATTAGCTTCAACAACTATAACAAGTTGACTTCTAAAGATCACAAAGATGCTTAGAACCTGAAGAAAGAAGTTTTGGTAGCTAATTGAGGCCAGTGTCACCGTCTCATTTTGTATGGGCAAGCTTTCTTTGGCTTCCACCGCCTGGTGAAGCCCATCACTCCAACGCCTCCCCTGTAACACAATAAAATACACCTCATTTACTGCCAACTTGGAAACAAGATATATGGTCTGAAATCCCTTACCTGCATGACTCGACCGCTAAACTCGTCCACTATGAGAACCTCTTTGGCACGTATAATATAGTTCACATCTCTGAGAAAGAGCTCTTTAGCTTTTATTGCATTCAAGACGAATGAGGCCCACTGTTCTCGAGGATCATATAGATCCTTTACTTCTAGAATTTCCTCAGCATCTGCATAACCCTGTTCTGTCAGTAAAACATTTTTCTGCTTCTCATCAACCTGCAAGAAATAGCCAAGTGGCAGATGCACATTAGAAAAGAAAAAAAAAACATGGGATGTATATTTGCAAGCATCTTTCTTTCTGAATCCTGACCGTATAATGTATATCTCGCTCAAAAGCAGCAGCTATTTTAGCAGCTTTGTAGTATTGTTCGCTTGGTTTTTCAGCAGGTCCTGATATAATAAGAGGAGTTCTTGCTTCATCAATTAGAATTGAATCGACCTCATCGATGACACAGTAATTGAAACCTCTTAATACAAGCTCATCAACACTCTGTAGACCAAGAGAAGAAGTTATAAGTGAAAATGAATGGCATAAGAGAATATTATTGAAGACTGTGTATAGCATAAATTACTTTCCATGGCAAGATTGTCTCTTAAGTAATCAAAACCAAGCTCACTATTGGTGACGTATGTGATGTCACACAAGTAATTCTGCCTCCTTTGTTCACTTGTCATGTTTTCTGCCAAATAATTGATTGTCAGGGGGGTACTTTCAACTAAGAAACCTGAGATCTAGAATACACCAGTGCTCATAGCTAATCAAGTACAATTGCATCTATTAGGAAAGGAAAAATGTCAAAAAGAACAAGAAAAAGAAGAGGAAAACTCTGAGTTTTCCAGTTAGACAGAAAGATGAAAATCAGCCAAAAAAATCTTAATAACATCTGTATGCTATTTAAGTAATGACATGTTTTTTGAGTTGTGTGGGCCTGGGTTGTAGCATAGGGCACATCGTTCTTTGAAGTTGCAATAGGATGACATGGGCACCAAGGTAAAAGGGCACTGAGCCTACCCACAAAAGGGAAAAGCCTTCATCAAACTAGGTCATAATGAGTCTATTACTGTAAATATTGGGCAATTTTTGATGTTGTCATGAACCAAGCCCACAAACTCTTAATCCAACTGATACAAAACAACAAAAAGAGCTAAATTGTCAAGCCTTGTATGGTACCGATGATTTTCTAATTAATATGATATGGTCACTCTAAAGTGTTTATGTTGTGCTTGGATATGATACTTCCTTACTCATCTTTTTTACAGTTTGCAACAAACATGACATAAAATGCAAAAATCCTAGTTATCACACCTAATTCTTGTCACCAGAATTTTGAGGTACATGAAGAAAGACTTTGGCTAAGGGTTGATCTTATTTGGATTGAAAGTTAGATAACAAAGTCCTCTTAACTTTGTTATCCATCCACCTTCAACATTATATAATATGCATAGGCATATAAATCAAAAGAAGAAGAAGAAGAAGAAGAAGAAGAAGAAGAAGAAGAAGTATACATACGCTGGATTAGGCCAACCGTGAGTCCAAGAAAACGGGCAACTTGACCGACCCATTCACAGTCCCTCCTTGCAAGGTAATCGTTCACAGTAACAACATGAACTCCTTTACCACTTAAAGCATTTAAATAAGCTGGTAATATGGCCACCAGAGTCTTTCCCTCTCCCGTCCTCATTTCAGCTATTTCTCCTTTATGAAGTACCATGCCACCTACATCACCATAGCATGTTTGTAAATTGTAATGGACATTAAACTTTCATGCTTTTTAAGCAGCCTAGTTTCTCATTTCAGGTTTGATGTTGTAGCCGAATTGAACTCAAAACAATTATTTATTTACCTATCAGTTGAACATCAAAAGGACGAAGACCTAGAACCCTCTTCGAAGCCTCTCTCACTATAGCAAACGCCTCCTGCACGATATTATATATAAATACTTAGAATGATAAGCCACGGAGCACAACACTTCTAACAGCCAAATTAATGATTTAAGAACGTTGCAGAGAAAGAGGAATATAGGTCTTCCAACAAGAGGTGGTTTATGAACCAACAGGACCGGAAAAATAAAGTCAGTTATCTTTTTTTCTTGCATTGTATTATCCTTACGCAAATTTAAAGGGGAAAATGAGTAGAGAACAATACATGGTCTCCAAATCCCAAATGTGATATATAAATGAGATGTGCTTACAGGTAAAATAGAGTCTAAAGATTGGGGAGCTTGGCGAGCTCGTTGCCTCAAGAGAGTGGTCCTATCCCTCAGCTGAGAGTCCGAGAGAGACGTCAGCTCGGATTCAAGAGAGTTGATGAGAGCGACGGTGGCAGAGTATTGCTGCCTGGTGGACTCCCCGGTGTCAGCCCCACTCTTGAAGATTCCGCCCAGTAGACCTCCTAATGACGCCGCCGCCACTGTTATCGTCTTCCGCTCTCTTGGAACGTAAAAATGACAATATCCGTGTGCCGAGTTATTTTTTCCACCCCGGAAAAGGAAGCTACTGCTACTGGTGCATTCCCTTAATAGTAGAAGATGTCGAGTGCAATAACTATTGAGTTGACGATGAAAAGTGGGAAATTTGGAACTGAAAGGTGAAACAGAATAGGAGGATGGGGAGGAAAAGTTATTTGTGGGCGACAGAGATGGGAGCGCCATTCCACTTCCCAAAAATTAATACTACTGTTATATACTTGCTACTGGGTGCCCCATGACTTCGAAGGTAAGAACCCCCTCTCAGTTATGCAAGGAAGAAGATGAGTGGGGAAAATTGGATGAGACTAGCAAAGCAAACTGCTTCGGATAAGGTGTCGATCTTGATATACCGAAATCGGGAAAAAAGTAAATTATACTTTTGGTCCATGTGGTTTACACCCATGTGTAGTTTGAGTCCAGTTTTTTGAAAATTGATATGGGTCGTCTCTATAGTTCCCAAAAGTTGCATGGCTGGTCCTCAGATTGTTACCATCTCATCTAAGGTGCTATTTGTTTTTTAATTGGTAAAATATCTACAAGAACTATATCTGCAAACATCTATAGAAAAAAACATGAATCAAACGTTTAGATTTTGTAAGAAAAAAACTGTTTTCTTTTAAAGTCTACAGGTTGTGGAAAAAAAATAAAATGTATATAAACTTTGTTTTTTGAAACTTAAAAAGATTATTTCAATAATTATAGTTTCATAATACTTAAATTAAAATTATACAACTATCATTATAGTTTTTTTAATTTTTAAAATTTTTATTAATACTTAAAATTCAAAAGATTTGTTTTATAGAATTATGAAACATATTAATTATTGTGGTTTCATGTAACTTATTAAATTATTAGATACTATTAGTTTGAAAACTATTATATTTCTCACATACTATTTTAAATTGAATTATATTTTTTTGTGATATTTGAAGTAATGCTAATTGTAAAAAAAAAAAAAAAAAAAAAAAAAAAAAAAAAAAACTATATAGTGTAAGAAAGTCATGTGTCCCATATCGGTTCATTGAAAAAAGAAAACAATATTGAGACTTTTATATAACGAAGATATAATTGAATATAAAATTGAAAAGCATAGACCTTTTGATCCTTATAAATTATAATGTAGGGTTGCTTCCTTTTTTTTTTTTAAATTACACGCTAAGATGTTTGAAGAGGTAAGAAGTGGATGGACCAAGTTTGCCTCGAGAAGAGGCCCTCGTACCTTTTTAGGTCTGCAGTCTTCTAAAAAACAAAAGGTTTGCAAGGTTAAATGTATGTGCGCCATCTACGAGACGCAGACAAGAGTGGTATCAAGAAGAGCTTTTGAGAAGAAAAAAAAAACAACACCTAAGATATTCCACTTAAAGGAGAGCATGTGTCCCTCAGATGGTAAAATTGTCTTTTCAACCTCATTTTATACTATTAAACAACTTAATTAAGGCTATGATTTACAGAGCTATGGTTCATCATCTTCTCCAACTTTCTCCTTGCAATCATTTGCCTTGATCTTAAACATTGCAATTAGAAAATTCTCAAGAAAACAAGATGTTCCAACCCACAACGTGGCATATTTGTAGTTCATCAATTTGTGTAAATGTGAATAATGTTTACAATTAATTTAACATATCAATGTTTTAGCTTAGATCTTTGAAAAAGAATGTTTTTTTCTTAAAAAATCATTCTTTTATATAGGGTCTTTCGATTTTTTTCCAATGAGAATCAATCATGGTGTATTTTTTTCCAAAGTTCCAAGAAGAGAAAGTACCTAGATGGAAAGGTAACATATGTGGAGTATGTTAACATTGGCGAGTTCTCTATATGTGAACTCAATGTGAGGGACGTGTACGATTGATGGACAGAAAAAACATGCAGGATTAAGACGACTCGGAGTGGACAACGGTGAGTATCGTTTTTGTGATGTAGATAGCCTTTAATGGTGTTACCACAGGGGAACAACGCTCCCCCCTCCCCCTTCCCCTTCCCGTTATGTGGCCGTTAGTGGTGATGGCAACGAGCTACAACAGGATTTTCCCTTTAATTTATTTCTTTCTTCCTTGTTTTTTCTTCATCTCAACGTCGTTCCTTACATAGAACACCAGCCCCAAAAAAATGGAGATTAAAAAGATTTTCGGTGCTTACCTGGCCTCACCACCCTGTTAACTATACCCATCACCCCTAAGTCCCAAGTATTAGCGTAGCATTGTTTCTACATTATTGGTATTTTATATTAACCATATTATAGGGTACCTACATGTAAATACGTAGACTATATATACATATTTGTATTATTCTGGATGATAATAACAAACAGAGCAAACCTTTTATGGTATCAGAGCGATACGTGATTACGATCACATCCAAACCCTAAAATCGTCGATCAAGCCTCCTCCATCACCGCCTCTTCCTCTACTTCTCTGATCACGATCAGCAACAGTCGAAAATCAAGATCCCTTGCAGTATCCATCTCACAACATTGAGACTGCACCATCATCACCGCCTCTTCTGCAGTACTCCCGCCGAAAAACCAAAAAAACCAGAATGACAGGAGAAGCTAGCGATCCTCTTTCTGCCAAAAACTCTACTCTCCATCCCGTTTATACAGTCACGAATATTCAGAATGAGGTACGCATTCTTGATGGTGTTAAAGTCACGTACTCATCTTGGGTCAAATTTTTTAAACTTCATGCAAAGGGCTATAAAGTTTTACAGCACATTGATGGCACCGACCCTCCTACTGCTGCTGACCCCACATACTCTTCTTGGGTCGAGATCGATTCCATTATCTTACAGTGGATCTATGGCACACTATCTGGTGATCTATTGGTTAGAATTCTAGAGAATGACACTACCGCCAGAGATGCCTGGCGTAAAATACGGGAAATTTTTTTGAATAACAAAAGCTCCCATGCGGCTGCCCTCGAGCACGAATTTATCAACCTGTCACTCATTGCGTGTTCATCTATGGATGAATACTGTCAAAAACTAAAGGACTTAGCAGGTCAACTTGAAGATGTTGGGTACCCGGTTTTAGAAGCACGACTGGTCTTACAGTTAGTTCGCGGTCTACCTTCCGAGTATGACACCACAGCCTCCCTAATCAACCATGGCTCCTACTCATGGGATGATGCTAGGGGCATGCTCGATCTTGAAAAACGGCGCCAAGCTGTCCGACAACAACCAAACCAATCCGCCCTTGTTACCCCACAAAACATCACAGTTCCCACACAAAACTCATCTCCGCCGATACCTCAACCCACACCACAAAACCGTACCTATGATCCAAACTTCCAACAATACTGTGGCCGTGGCCGCGGAGGAAATCGAGGTGGGAGGTTCAACAACCATGGGGGAGGAGGTCGATCTCAGTTTCATTACCCTCCACCATGGGCTTGGTGGTAGACTCCGCCATGGGGGGAGGAGGCCGGTCTCAGTTTCCTTACCCAACGCAACCTGTTCCCTGAAGCACTTCTCAACCATTCTCCAACCGACCACAAGCCCCACACTACTCACCTAGTCAACCTGCCGCCAACATTATACAGTCGGGCACTCATGTTTCGCCAATCAGCAATCAATATGATGCACTCAATTTCACTGATATTGGTGCTGCTTTGCAAAATACGCAACTCACACCCCCGGATCCAAACTGGTACATGGATACAGGTGCTTCTAATCATGTGACTTCAAACCCAGGTACATTCTCTACCCCTCTGTCAATATCTCAAAATGATCATATATTTGTTGCTAATGGCAACACGTTGCCCACCCATGGATCTGGTACAATTTTATATAAACTACCCAACAAAACATACCAACTCAAAAATACCCTAGCCCCCGACTTCATCAAAAATCTTATTTTTGTTCGTAAGTTCTCTCATGATAATAGTGTTTCTATTGAATTTGACCCTCATGGTTTTTCTTTGAAGGATTACCCGAGTGGAAAACACCGTTCCCGCCACAACAGTGAAGGTGATCTCTATCCATTCACCGCTCCTGCAGCAAACCCATCAGCTCTCATCACTACGTCTCACATATGGCATAACCGTCTTGGTCATCCCGGCCGCCAAGTCTTAGATTTACTTACCACTCACAAATTTATTTCATGTACTAAAGACCATAACTCTACTATTTGCCATTCTTGTCAGCTTTCAAATAGCAAACGTTTACCGTTTTCCGAATCTTTATCTTGCACTTTTTCTTCATTTGATATTGTTCATTGTGATTTATGGACTTCACCTATTCCAAGCAAAACCGGTTACAAATATTATATGGTTCTTATTGACAACTTCACAAATTATGTATGGGTGTATCCTTTGAAATTCAAATCTGAAACTTTTCCTACTTTCGTTAAATTTCACACATTGATTAAAACTCAATTCAATAAACCTATCAAAAGTTTTCAGTGTGATTTGGGGGTGAATTCGACAATACCGAGTTCAAAACCTTTGTGAATAACCATGGTCTTATATTTCGATTTGCTTGCCCTCAAACCTCGCCCCAAAATAGCAAAGTCGAGCGTATGATTCGGCATCTTAATGATATTATCCAAGCTCTTTTAATGCAAGCTTCCTTATCCCCGACCTTCTGGGTTGAAGCATTACATACAGCAGCCTATCTTTACAACATACTTCCTACCAAACGATTAAATTTCCTTACCCCCACCTTTGCTCTATATCTTCTCCACCCCACCTACGACCACCTTCGAGTCTTTGGGTGTGCTTGCTATCCAAATCTACCAGCTACATCCCCATATAAGCTTCACTCTAGGTCCACTCAATGCATTTTTCTTGGTTACCCTAATAATTTTCGCGAGTATCGATGTTACGACCCGATCTCTGGAAGAATTTATCTCTCACGTCATGTTATCTTTAATGAATCCCTTTTTCCATCAAGTCATATCTCTTCCACACCTACTCACATTCCCACTTCAATGGACTCTGACCCATCCCCAATCATTCTTGAACCCCTTCCACCTAACCATAACCCACTGCCTCATATCGTCCCACAACCACCATCACCAACCGTACCCACCAACTCACCTCTCTCCAACCATGAACCATCACCTAACGGTCCCCCCTCCACCAACACCCAAACGGCAAACCAAACACCCACACCCACTCCATTCAACACTCACTCCATGACAACCCGATCTAAAGTTGGTATAAACAATACAATCACTAGACTCAACCTAAATGTCACCCATACTCCCCATATCTCCCCCGTTCCCACATCCTACCTTAAAGCCTTGCTTGACCCCAATTGGAAACACACCATGACCAACAAATATAAAGCATTAAAAGATAATGACACGTAGGAACTAGTACCACGACCCACTAACCACCCGGTTATTCGTTGCATGTGGTTATTTCGGCATAAATCTAAAGCCGACGGGTCTCTAGAGCGCTACAAAGCGCGACTGGTGGTTAACGGTAAATCTCAAATTGTTGGTGTTGACTGTTTTGAAACATTTAGCCCGGTAGTTAAACCTGCTACAGTTCGCACAATATTAACTCTTGTTGTGTCCCGCTCATGGCCCATTAAACAACTAGACGTAAAAAAATGCATTTTTGCACGGGGATCTCAATGAAACGGTCTTTATGCATCAGCCACCAGGATTCACCGAGTCGGTTCATCCAAATCATGTGTGGCGTTTGAAAAGGTCACTATACAGCCTCAAGCAGGCTCCACGAGCTTGGTACACTCGATTCTCCAACTTTCTTTTAACTCACGGTTTCACAAGTAGCTGCTGCAACAACTCCTTGTTTGTGTATCACCATGGGGAACACACTGCCTATTTGCTTCTTTATGTTGACGACATTATTTTGACCGCTTCAGATTCTTCGGTCTTACATTCTATTACAACCAAGCTCTCCACGGAGTTTGCCATGACCGACTTAGGCGATTTACACCATTTCTTAGGGATTTCAGTCACCCACAGCACATCAGGATTATTCTTGCAACAATCTCAATTTGCAAAGGACATAATACAACGTGCCTCCATGTCAACGTGCAAGCCAGTCTCAACACCGGTTGACACCTCCGCCAAACTTAGCGCCATTGATGGTCCCCTCTTACCCGACGGCTCTCTCTACCGGAGCCTCGCAGGTGCTCTTCAATATTTGACATTTACTCGCCCTGACATTTCCTATGCAGTTCAATAGGTGTGCTTGTTCATGCATGCCCCTCGCGAGCCTCACTATAATTTTCTCAAACGTATTCTTCGTTATCTTCAAGGTACCCTGGACTATGGCATAAAAATCACTCCTACACGGTTGGATTCTCTCACGGCCTATTTCGACGCCGACTGGGCAGGCTGCCCAGACTCTCGCCGATCCACATCTGGCTATTGTGTCTACTTAGGTGATAACATACTCTCCTAGTCCTCCAAAAGACAGCACACATTCTCTCGTTTGAGTGCTAAGGCCGAGTACCGTGTCGTCGCAAACACGGTTGCTGAAGCGAATTGGTTACGCAACTTGCTTCTTGAACTACACGTTCCCCTTCGTCACGCTACCGTTGTCTTCTGTGATAATGTTTCTGCGGTTTATTTGTCAAATAACCCGGTTCAACATCAACGGACCAAACATGTCGAGATCGATATACATTTTGTTCGTGAAAAGGTTCGCCTCGGACACATTCAGGTTCTTCATGTCCCCACGAAATTTCAATATGCCGACATTTTTACAAAGGGTCTTCCTCGACATTTGTTCAACAACTTCAGATCCAGTTTGAGCATTCATCCTCCTCCTGCTCGAACTGCGGGGGACTATTAGCGTAGTATTGTTTCTACATTATTGGTATTTTATATTAACCATATTATAGGGTACCTGCATGTAAATACGTAGACTATATATATACATATTTGTATTATTCTATACGATAATAACAAACAGAGAAAACCTTTTACCAAGGACCAACAATGATATCAAAATCCTCGAGAGGAACCATCCATGACAAAATCCCAATACTAACCAAAAGTGATATTTTGCCCAAACCACATGGACCAAGACTATATCTTACTCTAATTATTATGTTTTGATAAAATAATATAATGAATAAAAAATTGTCATTAAAATTTTAGAAAAAAGATATATGTTTTTTATGTGACATTTTAAATGTAGATGGAATAGAAGAAAATTCTGGTACTAGCAGTACAACATGTTTGTATAGTGACAAAATTTTAAAAAAAATGGAACCAAGTTGATTAAAGAAACGGAAGGCAAGCAAAAGCAATTAAAGCAGAAACAGAATCTGTGAAAGAAAAAGAATACAAATTAGTGATGTTACGTAGTATGCTTGCCAAAATCAGAACCTCCCTTTCACCCTTAGCTACAACATAATAAAAACCTTCAAAATTACTTTTAGTTGCAGCAACCAACTAGAGAAATGTGATCATGACCTTATATAAATGTTAGTAAACATACATACTATCATCAATCATACATGGTGGTCTTGATGATTTATTAACTATGCATGGTCTTACCAAGAACAAGATGGGTAACAATATTAATTAAGTTATGATTCGATTATCTCATATCACTCTTCAAGGATTTGGAACTCAATGTCCAACTTTCTCTTCAGGTAAGTTCTGTCAGCACTGCAGTCGTACAAGAATCATTATAAATCATAACAACTGAACTAAGATCGAATGTGAATCAACAAAGCCCAAAGCTATGTAACTAACGCCTATCAAGCCCACAATTTAAACACTCGTCTTTTTAATAGAAGAGAATCATAGCAAAGATTTCCGAAAACCTAACTTCATGACAATAATAATGAATGTCATAACTTTTTGTGTTGTCCCCGTAACATAAGAAAGCAATGCTTTCATTTTTGGTAACTTTCATTACTTGATTTATTTATAACTCATAATTTGGTCCACAAGATTCTTTTTATATTTTCCTTATTAAGGGAGGCACCTGCCCCTGCCACACTCAAGTCTCATGAACATCGATTAGCATATATACATCACGATCACCAACATATCTATTAATCTACTGGATATCATTCACTCACTCGATCAGTCAAGAAAGCGCTCAAGGGTGAAAAAATATTATCAACGCCATTAACCTTAACGTTCAAATTTTTACCTTTCTTAGATGAATAAAAAATACAGCTTTTTAAGCACTTCATTGACATTAAAAAAAATGACTTGGCATGTTGTTTATAAAAATGTTTGATTATCAGTTAAATGTCTAAAATCCCCCTCAACAAAGATAAAATGAAATAAACATATGGAAAAAGATTTAAGTTGAGACATCATACAATAATTAATAATGGGCAAAAAATAGATTAAGATTACGAAGTTGTAAAAAAGACGTGTTGCATTTTATTATGGCCAAAAGATTTGCATTTTAAATTTGTTTAAACATGCCAACTCTCAAGAATATAAATAGCTTCCATATCAATAAAAGTGTTGCAAATCTTGAAAAGAAAATTGAGAGTATGAAAAAATTTTAAGACATAAATGTGGTGGAAAAGCTTGAAATAGTAAAAAAAATACATCACTTGTTTTGAAAGATGGAGTGTTAGTCGTAGGTGTATAGTATTTCCATAATAAAGACAACCAGATTGTGAAAAAAATAGCTAATACATTATTTCCATAATAAAATTAATCTATAATAGAGTTGGAAGATACACTAAATTTGATGATAAACAATTGAGAGAGAAATGGAGAATAGTGGAAGTATGTGTTCTTTTGTGTTGTAATACAGTTAATAAAAATAAGATTTCAGATAGAGGGAGGAGTGCAATAAAAAATATATTGTTAATGGTATTTACCTGTTGATAGTTGGTCTAGCTGGAGGTCTTGCTGCAAAGACAGAAAAATCAAGTGACATTGATGCAGGTCCACTTGTTTCATTCCCATTTCCATGGCCGAGAACTGACACTAACACTGGCACTAACATGACTCTTGTTGATTTCCTAGTTGCAGGTGACAACACAGTCGATGGATTGAAATATGTAGACTCTTTCTTTGGTGGAGGTCGTGGAAGAAAAGTTGGTTCAGTAGGTGGAGGTCCAGAGGAGAAGTACCTACCAATACCATCAAATTTTTTACTTAATAAATAATCAGCCGAGAGGATTATTAATATTACCTAACAACCCACCTATGCTCTAATGCCTGGTGTGCTGAAATTCTAGCTTTTGGATCCTACACAAACATCTTGGATAACAGATCCAATGCATCATCACTTGCCATTGGAAACATCGTCCGAAGTGGCTGCCCAGGTTGGAACAAACCGGTACTCAACATAATCAGGAAGATAAATCATATCTGCCCACTGAGAAGTTTTGGGAGTCCCAAATGCAGCAAATATTTTCCCCAACTGATCCATGTCACTGCTACCCTGACAACAACTATACGTTATGTTATGTTATGTTATGTTATGTTATGTTATGTTATGTTATGTTATGTTATGTTATGTTATGTTATGTTTATTTATTGAATCAAAAACAAACAAAGGCTTTTAGCTTTCCAATAAGCAACCAACCTACAGAAAAGGGCGGCGTAGAAGGAGCTCAGCAAATATACAAGCTGCTGCCCAAACATCAACCCCAGGACCATATTGTTTGGCACTAAATAATAGTTTTGGAGCTCTATACCATCGATCAAACACCTACCTTATCACAAATATAAAATCATTTATTGTTATGATATTATGATACACATCAACTGATTGATACAAAAGAAAATTTAGATACCTACCTGGTGAGTGAAGTAAACCTTCTGTTGAGGCTGCCAAATATGCATACCAGTCCAAAATCTGCAAGTTTTAGTCGTCCATCAGGTCCTATCAACAGATTATTTGGTTTCATATCCCTGCCAACACAACCAACATCCATTTCAGGTTCATGTGGGCCATTAGGCATTAACAACTACTTCAAAGCTAAAAAAAATCATCAACTACCTACCTACCTGTGCAAAACCCATTTCTTGTGGCAAAAGGCAAGTCCTTTCAATGTCATTTGAAGGAATGACTTTATATCGGTGGGGGAAAGAATGATGTTCCTATCCCGGATAATAGCTTCCAGATCAGTCTCCATAAACTCAAAAACAAGAAGCAAGTTCCCTTTATGAGGAAAAGCATCAATCAGTTCTATTATATTTGGATCCTTGAGCTCTTTCAGCAACTTGATTTCTCTTAGAGTAGTAAAATTCACCCCTTCCTTCTGCTTCCCAAGCCGGATTTTCTTTATTGTAATAGTTTGCCCTGTCTGTCCCACAACCTACAACTTAAATAAACATCACCATTCACTAATGCATAATCAAACACTGAAAAATGCATGCAAATGTAAAAACAAATTGTTATGCATTTTCTATTTCTTTTGATATCTTAATATATAGAGATTATATGTACAGAGTAAAACATACACACAATTATCCTTGTTGTTGGTTGGTATAATGGAATTACTTTCCAGTGACATACCCTAAACCCCTAAATTTTATTCAACTAAGAATCATGGGGAGATTATTTTAAGGGGAACAGAAACCCTAAATTTTATGCTACATACCCATTCAATAGCCACATAGAGTATTACAATACCTTGGTATCAATGACTTTGTAGACGACGCCATAGGTACCTTCCCCAAGTACTTCACGTTTCAGGTATCGATCAACTACTTTCTTTGCTAATAAGCGATCCACTTCTGACATCTCTTTTCCTCTATTCTTATTACTTTTGGCCGACGCACAGGCTATGCCAAATATGTGCTTGTTTCAACAATTATATTAGATTTCTTCATAATGATGCCCAAAACCCTTGTTAGATGAAAGGGGATTTAAACAGAGACAAAGTTAAAGGGGAAATATAATATAATGTGTAGACAGATGTCTTCAAGCATATGTTGTGAAGGGATCCATAGTCTCTTCACCGGCGAAGAATCTTATCTTGCTCGAATAACATAATCTTTGGTTTGGTTGGCAGCGATTCTACCCTACCACAACAAAAACACGTAGGTATCTGAAAATTGACTTTAGGGAGATGGATCGGTCCTTCACGTTCATGGGGTGATGATGAATCGATAAAGTAACTTATAAAAGTTACGAAACCAATTTTTTCATAAATCATTCCGACTTATTATTTGAAAGAAAAAAAAAATTAAATATGAATCTTTAAATATTTAAACGTTTGAATTTATAAAAAAAAAAAAAAAAAAACTTAAGAAAAATATTAAATTATTAAAATGAAAATATTTTCTCTCATTTAAATTTAAACATATAATTTAGATAAATAAAAAAAAATTTAATAGGTCTTTAATTTAAGAATTTTGAAATTACAATATAATTTTATTAATGAATTTGATATTCATTTATTATTACATTTATTGTAATTATTATATTTAAACACTGTATGAAATTTAACAAAATATATAAAATCATAAAATGATATATGGATAAAAAATAATTTAAATAACTATAAAATGATATGTAGCAAAATAAATAAGAGTATGACATGTGACAAAAAAATCTTTATTTATTAAAGTATATATTTTATAAGCTAATTAACAATAAATGGGTATTTGGGATTACTTTTTAACCTAAAAAATCATTTTTTACAAAAAGATTTTTAGATTTATAGCTTTTTTTTAAATGAGTTTTTTAAATGTGTTTGATTTGACTTTTAAGAGGGTAAAAACCAAAAAGTCAAACGGCACCAAATTTCATCAATTTCTTACTTCTAAAACAACTCATTTTTCTTCTTGCCAAAAAATCAATCTAGAAGAACTTTTGAAATTGTCAAACACATTTTTAAACTTTTGAGTTTTTAAAATAACAAAAAGTCTAAAAAAATCAATTTGAAAAATAATCTTAAATACCCTTTAAGAATTTTTCTTGAACACCCTCACTAGTAAAAATTTGAAGTTTGTGTTTAAAGTTTTGAGGCAACATAAAGGAAAAAAGTTATATTATATTATATGAATATAGATCCGGTAAGAAAATTTTTTTGATAGGAAGGTAAGAAGTTTTTTTTTTCTACATATTTTTTTGACGAACCAAAAAAATGAATCACTAGATGATTCATTTGTAAGATGCTTCACAAGAAAAAATTCTCAAAAAAACATCTATATGATTCATTTTTAAATAAATTAAGAAAAAATCCACTTTTATGACAATATTACTGAATAACAACAAAATCATTATATAAATGAATCATCGAGATGTTTTTTTGATAATTTTTTCTTGTGAATCATCTTTCAAATGAATTATCTAATGATTCATTTTGTTTGTTCGCGAAAAAATATGTAGAAAAAAAACTTCTTACCTTCCTACCAAAAATTTCCTTCTTATTTGATCTTGACTCATATTACATTATGTTATTATATATATATATATATATATATATATATATATATATATATATATATATATATATATATATATATATATATATATATATATAGGGCTAGATTATAATATGAATGGTAAGTATTGTGTAGATGTAGGGATGAATGTGGACCAAGAGTTTAAAATACATATTCTAATAGAATACATATTCTGATTGAATACAAATTTTGATAAAATACATATTGTGATTGAATGAACATTTTTAAAAAAAGAAACAAATTTTTGAACCATGAGTTGAAGAATAACAACATTCTTAAAGAATAATCATCAATTATTACTATTATTGAAGAATCTAAGGTCCAAAAATAAACAAAAAACAATTTTTACCGTTACATTCTATAAAAATACAATGTCGTTTTTTTGAATTTTTGTCAAGTTCTATAAGAATATATGACAACCCGATATTTCAACTCTTTGTAGTGACCTAAAAAGTCAAGTATTGTAACCACTTTTGAGTTAATAAAATTAACTTCGATATTAAAAAGTCCAAAAAATTCCTATTTAAATTTCTTCTATGTTTAAATGTCATCAAACCATGCTCGTAAGTAAAAAGAATGCCCAAATCCGACTTCGTATATTGAAGTTATGATTTTTCCAAGTTCAGCTTAGCAACAGACAGCTAAAAACTCGAATCGGAGATCGAGCGACTTTTGGCCGGAATAACCTAAACGAGAATCGAAGGTCTCGTCAATGGTATTTCAGCGGTAAAAAGTTTGGCAAAAACCGACGACAGATAAAGAAGTTATGAATTTTTAAAGAAATCCCTTAATCACGTCATTTTATAAATAAATAATAAAAATAATTTCGGAATTTGCCAATGGAGTCTAAACGAAAGTTGTAGAGTGTAGTCTCACCTACGCATGGATATAAAGACCATCGAAAACGGAGTTCGTATGAAGAAGATATGATTTTTTTAAGTTTATTAAATAAATTATATATATATTTAATTCAAAAATCCGGTAATATCCGAAGGAAGAGTCAGCGTCCTCATCCGAGGTACGCGCCGCGTAACCCCGTACGCCCTGCGTACCCGAGGGCCTTGGTCTCGGTCCATCCACGTCGCCCCTATGCGAAGCTATCCGACCCGCCGTCCCATCCGAAGTACGTAAGCGATGACGCCCCAGTACGCGCATTTTGCTCATTCTCTCTCTTTCTCTCACGATCTTGCCTCGATTTCCGTACCCGTTCAAACCCGAAACTCTGGTCTTTTTGCTCAAGTCCCGAGGGTCGATTTTACTCCCGAGATTCCCGAGAATCCCGAGAAAAAAATCCGTTTCCCAAGACGAAACTCTACCCGGTTTTCCATCTCGCTATCTTAAAACTTTCAAGTGAGTTCATACCCCTTAAATCAACCTTTGAAATGATTTTAAATGTTTGAATACTTTATGGGGGGGATACAAGTTAAATACTTATAGTTATTGCTTCAATCACATGTGATTGCATTAATCACATGTGATTAATAACTAGGAAACCAATGATTTTATCACTGTTCAAAATGTTTTACTTCAAAATGTTTTACAAACTCTTTTACTTATCAAATGCTTTTATTTAAACTTTGTTTTACTACTTATAAATTGCATGCCCATATATGTATAGATGTATAAATAATGTTTAAAGGGCTTAGGAAAGCCACCTGCCCTATTTCCTTTTCCTCGATTTAGATGTGGTCTGGTGGAATTTCGGGTGACCATCTGAAGGTCGTTTCCATATTAATTATATATCAAATATACATATATAGACATAAAAGTACTTCCATATTCATACGTACTAGACACACCATTAGTAAGTTACCATCGGGGTAACACAGGATCATACTATTACAACTGCTAGATCAATGAGTCAGTTCATTCATGAGTCTATACTAGGAAGAGAACTATGAGAACATATACAACTATACTAGGAAGAGAACATATACAACTATACTATGAGAACATATACAACTATACTAGAACGAGAAACATTTCATTACATATACAAGAATACGATAACAATTGTGATCCACTGTATCGGAGCATGCCTTAAATGTCATGGCCCGAGTTATAGCCAGAATTCTCTTGGAGGGAGAGCGTGAGTTTGCGTATAGATCTATACTGGATTGACTATCCTACACCTTGCTGCTAGCTACAGCCGGACCTGCAGGTCTGCGGGTGCCAAACGTCATTTCCGTTATTACGACCATTCATTATGTCATTGTTACCAGTCGATAGCATGGTGCAATTTATCACATTATACCTTTATATAAATCCAGTTTAAGGTAGTTAGTACAGCAGTAGTTCCTATAATACAAAAGTACAGTACTACAATGATTTACCCATTACATTTTTAGTGATAACCTCACTTAAACTTTAACGTACAAACTATATTTTGTTAAAAGATAGTTACACTTGGGAAATTACACACTTTTACATCAAACGAGCATACAAAACAGTTAAGCCTTGGTAGAAGGCTACTTTAATAGAAAATATAGGTTTTTCTGAGAGATTCAAACTTTTACAAACACTTACGTACATTTTACAACTTATACTTGCGACAGGTTCAAACGTTTTTAATAACAAACACCGACACTAAAACACTTATGAACTCACCAGCTTAATGCTGATAAACTCTTTCAAAATAACTTGTATTCTCAGGTCATCAGTAGATAGGTACCGATGCCAACTTTTGAGAAGATGGAGCGCATTCAAGACTCATCATATTATTTTGATTCATATTATATTTTTGGTGTCTAAAACTGTACAGAACACGCTTGTATTAAAATTATATATTTAATGCAATGGATGATGTTGTTTGCTTATTTACATTTACTGTGTTGTGATACTTTACATAACATCCTCCACCCCAGAACGTTTCTGCCGTTCATGGTTTTGGGGTGTGACAGAATACAAGCTCCATAGTAAGTAAGGTCTCGTTTGATAGTTTCTGTCTGGTAAAGTGTTGTTTGGGAATGTTTTATGACTGAGAAAGAAACCATGTTGTTTGATTATATATTTGATTGAATGTCCTGAATGATGAAAAAAAGTAATAAAAAATAAAAAAAAAATTTAAAAATTATTTTAAAAAATTAATAATCCAAGAAAGAAAGAAAGAAAGAAAGAGGCGGGGTTTGGTGCATAATTGTCTTTCCAGATCATTCAGCCAGAAAGATATGATTTTGGGGCTTTCTAGGAAAAACATATCTTACCGGGAAAGGCCCCCTTTTTTTGTGCAAATCAAACAGTCTTTCCGGTCCATTCAGCCAGATAGATTTGTTTGGATCTGGAAAGGTGTGTATCAAACAGAGGCTAAGTCTTGAAAAAATCTTCATTTTA